ACTCTAATAGAAATCCAAATCAGAATCTGTTGAGACAAAACTGTAAAGAAAATGGAATATGCAATTTTAATAGTATCTTACGTCTAAGTCAGGGAAAGTGGAACCCAGAAAACAGCAATGGAACTGGCTAGGTGCATGAGGCCCAGAATCTTGAACTTGGGTTTTTCTGAATCATCCCACCTGACAGACAAATTCTCCCTCCACTTCTCTAGGGAAGACCAGCCCTCCCCTTGCTTGAAGCCCCTCAGGTTCCACCCTCCTCCACCTTTAGGCTGCTTTTTAAAATCTCAGCCCTTGCTGCCTCTCTCTGCCTCTGGGAAAATGTTGTCACAGATTAGTCACCCACAGCAGAGAGATGCAGTGCCTTCCCTGCAAGAAATAATCCACACCATGAAGAAAGAAGAGACTAATACACACCAATAGGTACGAGTTATACATGTGGGAGTGGGAGAGTGAACTGGGGATGGGAGTTAGGAATACAAGGCTGAACTGGGAAAGATTTATTGGCAGACCTGATAAAATTGGCTTGTTAAAGGATCAAGGGCTTCAGCAGCATATGACAGGGAAAAGGGAGATCTTAAGTTCTGCCTACATTTGAGCATTTTAAAACCACCAGGGGAATTTGTCAGTCTTACTTTTTTTTTTGGCCAGCAGAGGGCAATCTAGGCTCCATGAAACTACTTACAGGAAAATAAGAGAAAGGAGGGGAGGCTATAAAATACATAATCATCAGATGGCACTAAAATGTTGGTGTTTGGATACATTATGTCAGTCAGTCCCAGTTTCCCCAGACTCATGAACTATCTTCCTCCGCCCAATTGCTATTTACTGTGCAACAATTTCAAATCCTTGATTTTTTTTTTGGGGGGGGGGGTATTAGGGATACCCCTAATATGAACTGAGCCACATCCCCAGCCCTATTTTAATTTTATTGAGAGACAGGGTCTCACTGAGTTACTCAGTGCCTTGCCTTTGCTGAGGCTGGCTTTGAATTCAGGATCCTCCTACCTCAGCCTCCTGAGCCGCTGGGATTATAGGCCTGTGCCACCTCGATGGTCCTTGATGTTCTTAAACAGAAAAACCAAGAGAAGAGGCTATGTTGCTGTCAGCATCAGGAGCTGACTTGTGCATTCTGCAGCGCTTTTCACTGTCTTGTCATGGAAATCACTTGCACTACAAGGTGAGAGGAAGCTGGTTCCTTCTTTCTCCTCAATTGCTGGCCCATGTCTATTAATTGATCCTCCTCCAACATACTCACAAATCAATATTCCCAAGTATGAACCAGGGTTTCTCAGAGTGTGGCTTTGTCAGGACCTGCAAACAAACCATAGGGTGGGACAGGAGCTGTAAAATATGAGAACCCTGGCCTTACTCCTGGTGTGGTCAGGACCCAAGAATCTGCATTTTAACATGCGTCCTTTGTGATTCTGATATGCACTGAAGCTTGTGACCCACTGATCTAAACAAGAAAAGCAAGAACTCTGGCAGTGGCCCCATGTGGGGCTTTTGAGTCTACTACAGACAACCCTTTCTCCTGACCCCTCAGGATACAGGAAGTTAGCAGTGAGGCATCAAGGAATGGCAGGGAAGAGAGAAGATAGAGACTCCAAGTCAGCACAGACTCAGATCAGGATGCCTTTTGTCCTCAATTAAAAAAAAAAAGAAAAATCACTGGAGTTCCTGAATTTGCAAAATCACTCTAGAGTAAGGGTAGAAAAGAATATATCAAATATTATTGAATCAATAAACATGAATACCTTAAAGCAAAAAATTAACAAGAAAAAGTCAGTGAGCAGTTTCCTGCTTATTTAGAACATTTGTATCTAGAGGAGTACTTCCCAAACTCCTGGGAATCTGAGTCATTTGGGAAGTAGACTGGGACTCTCCAGAGCATGTTGAAGCAGCCACCAAAGCATGCCTGAAGTGCCACCTCTCAGGTCTGCAGAATATGCCTGGATTTTCCCCACTCGTCATTCTACATAGAAAATTCTGTTGTGTGTGTGAGCACAATGAACAATTATTTGGGGAAAATAATAATAATGAATAGTGTGTTAATGTTTCCTTATCATGTTCAACACCACAGGCAGGGACTAAAAACCAGGAAACAGCTGACCCTTCCCAAGAAGTTGATCTAGTAGAACAGTGATACTCCAAGCGTTGTCCAGGGATGGGCAATAACACCATGGAGCTTGGTAGAAATGTGAATTCTCAGGTTCTGGCTCCAGACTTAGGACTGGTTTCTGGAGGTGGTGCTCAGACATCTGCTTTAACAAGACCCATGATTCTGCTTATTTAGAATACCGATTCACATCAGCACTGCAGATTTTTCCTAAACCTTTCTGATGGTAAATATAATTTCCTAGGCCCCTCTGTGGGCAACTCTTGAATCAGAGCAGCTGGAACAAAAACCTTGAAATTCAGTTTGTACAATCAACCCCAGGTGCGACTTTTAGGAAGGTTGAGGTACTCTAGGTCCCTTCCTGATCTCTTATCTACCTGAGTTCTGATGAAGGCAGATGCTTGGATAAGAAATGTACATTAGAATCACTGGTAGAGTTTTTAAAAATAGATTCTCACGTTTTCCAAACTCCAGCGAATCGTATCCACCTTCTGTTCTAAGCAAATGGTTTTGAGAAGTTCTTTGCTTTTGCTTTTAATGTGGACGATTTCACTTGTCAAGCATTGTAGCCTTCTCTAAGTGGAAGGCCACCATCATCTACTCATTTGCACTGAGTGACATTTAAGGGCCTGAACTTTAAGTAGCTAGCACTCAATGAGCCTTAAAAACAGCTTCGCTGGTCAATTTGACAGCTCCTTTAACCTGGAGTCAGAACAGGTCTCAACAGTGGCGCCCAGAAAAAGCTGTTATTGGCCTTGTTGTATTGCATGTCTTCTCCTCCCCCAGCCATCACCCAGAGTTCTTAGCGCAGATGTCACGCCTCTTTCTTCATTTTAAAGTCTGTCCTTCCACCCCATCCACAGGGGATGATGGGCAGTGGGCATGTTAAGCAGTTGTTAACCTGGTTGGTGAAACAATGGGTTTTAAAATGAGACCATATGGTTTCATCCAGAATGTTAGATGCTATCCTGGAAGTAACAGCCTGAGAAAACACTGATTTCCTAAGCAATACTTGCAGTGATGGTCCAGGTTATATACCACATATACATAGTCCCACAGAAGTTTCCATTCCTGGTCATATTCTTATTGTGTACTTATTTACAAAGAAGATAAATTGAGTGTGGGAGGGAGGACTATGTTTCCAGATTTTTCTCTTTAAGACCTATTAAATCTATTTGAAAAATAGAGAGACAATTGCCCCACTGAACTTGTTTACCATTTTAGGTTCAGTTTAATTCAGTTCCACTTCTATTTCTGAAAGTTCGTTCTGTGATTACTTTGAAGGGCAAGTATTTTGGAGAAGTTTAACTTCCACTGATAGTCCACAGAGTTGTCTATTCTTTTCTATATTTAAGATTTCATTACAAACTATTTACTATAGTTCAATAAAAACAAGAAATTCAAACAGTTATGAATCTGCTAAGTGTATCAGTAATAATCTCCAGAAGACTCCCTGAAAAAAAAATTTTTTTGAATCCTGGAAATCTATGGTCAGGGCACTTTTATTTCAATTGTCATTGACTCATAATGATATTACTCTATTTGGTCAGGTCTTGATGTTAGTTATCCTTTAGGTCACAAAAATAACAATAAACAGATACAGCTGATATGACTATATCACACTAAAGATAATGGAATGCTTTATTGGTTCAAATATGGTTGAATGTCTCTTTCTGGACTCACTATTCTGTATAGTCTATCTATGCTTCTACTGTTGCATTAACAGTATACTACCCTAATTACTAAAACTTTGTTTTAGATTTATATAGGGTAAGTCCTCCAAGTTTGTCCTTCAAGAAAAAATATCCCTTTGCTTTTACATGTAAATGTTATAAGGCTTGAAATTGAATACAAAGAAGCAAACATTCTTAGATTTTGGTTGAGACCACATCGAATATTTCAACAGGTAAATTTGGAGAAATATCTTACCTTTACTGAACCGACTTTTCCAATCCAGAAACACAGAATACCTCTTCACTATTTTTCCTAAAACATATTTCATAATTTCATATGCAGAGATCTTGCTAGATTTCTATCTATAGGTTTGACCTTTTGATGCTTCTGTAAATTTTTTTAATTGAAATTTTCATCTTATACAGAGTAATCCTATAAAATTCACTTATTAACATTTTATCTTAAGATCCTTCTGGATTTCTACATTCACAACAATGTCATTAGTAATTTTTTAAAACTGAATTAATCTTTAATAATCTAGAACTCATGTAGTTTGCGTAAACATCGTTTTTGTTAGGTTAGTTCACATATGTAAGTTATTCAAACTCTTCATGTTAGTTTCGAAAATTTGGCTTACTAGTCTGAGCATAAAATAATTTAAAGGGTACCTAATATACAAAGAGCATGTTTATTTTCTTGGAAGCTTTGGAAATACCTATTCTGTGTGCAGCTTCCCCTGTTGCCATCCGCCCAGTGCTGCTACACACAACAAGAGAAAAGAATGCTGGATTTTTTATTTTATTTTATTTTAGAATGCTGGACTTTGACCCAACTGTTTTTCAATATATATTTGTTTCTCTTCATGTATGAAAGGAAATAAAAAGACTGGTTGATGTGATAATTTCATTTGCCCTTTGTTGTGTTATTATCTTGCTGTTGCCACTGGTGCATCTTATGGGATCTCGAGACCTCCCCTCTTCACGTGTCTCATCTCTCAAGTTCTTCTCCTTCCTGGAGTTAATGGAAGTTACCAAAGTCCAGCTGGCTTCTTGCTGCTGGAACCTTCCTACTTACAGTGAGGTAGAAAGGTGGTTGGAGTCAGGTCTGGGTGCAACAGGAGACAAAGGAGACTGAAGTGAGTCCTCTTCTACCCACTGTCAGGCCCCCAAAATGGACACAAAATGAAGAAGCAGAGCCTCTGTGTTTGTTTTCAGCAATATTTATTGGAAACAGCAATGCTTCCCGGGTGAGAGTTTATACATTAAGCAGTAAGATTTGCCTTTCACTCCACATGATCCACTACTGCAGGTGGCACATCGGAAGCAACACATTAAATCTCTGAAATAGTCTGTACAGCTAGATAAATAGAACTCTGGATACCTAACAGGACTTTCATGACTGATATAGGGGGAAAAAAACAACACTGGTAAGTTTACACACAGCACTGTACACACCAGATGGAGATGGGATAGAAGGGACAGATGTAGATGTGATGACTGAATTGGGAGAGGTTTTGCATATGCAGTCACAAACCTTAAACCGCTAAGCACAAAAATCATCTTTATTTGGTCCTCATTGAGGGCAAATACACACAAATGATGTTCAAGGAACACAAGGTAAAAGTGGAAAGGAAAGACATTTACTGTTTCTTGGTCTATGAAGTTGTGGGAAATGGTTACTAGTATTTTTCTCCTTATATCTCTGTGCCTAAAGAATTTATGTAATGAAACATATAATTCATGAATAAAACTGAAGGGAAGATAACTGTTCCCCCTTCCCTGTACCCTCCAGATATGGTCTAAATATGTACATGGCTTCTGTACAGTAAGAAATTTGAGCTTGAAAACCAGATCTTTTCCCAATTCCTCATAATGGAGAACTTCTTCTTTTCAGCCCTTTCTACAATATGCCGATTGCTGTCTCACTTCAAAATAAATGAGTATCTCTCTCCCCTGGCCCACTGGATTTAATAACAGGGAGTAAAGAAAACAGGCTGTATCTCAGAAATAGGCATCAATGGGGAGAAAAAAGTGACTGTTTCCAGAGAAATGCTCTGAGCCCATCAATAATACTTTTCTACTGCTGGCATCAGGAAACTAATTCATTCAGACCAGAAGACAATTTGCTGGTGAGGGAGGCTTTTTTGACAATTCCATGCCTCACATATTTAGGAAGGGACAAAGTGAAAAAGAAAGAACTTTCTCCTCTTTGAATGAAGAAGTTGAGGTCTGAATGGCCCCTAGGTGATAGACAATATCTTCAGTAGGATGGTTTTTCTGTGATGTGGCTCATGGTCATATTCTAAGAGACCACAGCCTCCTGAGAACTGGGTAAACAGTAGTTCTGTGACTACCAGCTAGTCTCAGATAGTGTTTAAAAGCACATGCCATGCCCACCAGGCTTGGAAGATACCATCCGTCACCAAGGCTCCTGTGGGAGCACACAAGTCAACCCAAGACACTTGTGGGGCATGATGACTTGGTCCACTGCGGCCTGCACTCAAGATGTGTTGTAAAGCAGCATTATCAAAGCAGTGGTTAAACTTAACTATCTGGGTCAAGAAAAGGTGAGCCAGCCAGCATAATTTTCTAATGGGGTAGGGCAACCAGAATTTCTACATAATTGATGGGGAAGAAGCCTGACTGGCCATGAAGCATCCCCTCATACCAGTTCTCATCAATTTGGTTGGTGAGTGTGATGATGTCACCCTCTTTAAAACCCAACTCCCCTTCATTTTCAGGTTCAAAGTCATACAGAGCTCGGCAGCAGGGCTGATCCATTGGGACACCTGGGAGTAGGAACAGGAGAGAAGAACACAAAGGATATTTAACTTGCAGTATCTACTGCCTGCTACATCCAACTGGCTTCTTGTTCCCCTTCTTCCTTCCCATATACCTCTCCCTGCCAATGCTCCCTCTTGCTACTAGACTCCAGCATCGCTCCAGGGCCATCTTGACCCTAACAGTTTTCAGATGCTTACTTCAATCTTTGGAAGTTGTTGGATATTCCTGTTTCTATTCTCAATATGAAAAAATGGCCACATCTATTCTTGTGATACATACAGCAGCATTCATTAAGGTTTGCCTTCTCGACAATACCCAGAGATGGGAGACCCTATGACTTAGGGAGCTTATAATGAGATCTAGGTTAGAAACACAGCATGGCCAGAATCCTGTTATATTAGCACTTTAAAATCCCTGCACATTTAAAATAGGACAATTAACTCCATGTACAATGCTTTGCATCCTCAGAAAAACAGTTAAGTTCTCATTCGTCAAAACAAAACAAAACAAACAAACAAACAAAAAAACCTCACCTCTGGAAAACTGCTGTAATGCACAATAATAAAATGCACTGGGTTCAAGTTCTTACTCTGTGTGACCTTGCAAAAGGTCACCCTTGGTTTCTTTTTTTCCAAATTGGAATTAACAATAGAACTTACTTCATATGATTATGTCTACTAAATTAGATGATGTTAAAAGAAATATAATTCATACTTGGTAAAATGTTGAAGCTCAGAGCTATGATGGTAGATAAAAATAATGTATTCCACTTTAAGCAAAATAATAAGGGTTGGAATCATATCTTAAAATATAATCTATCTGGGGCTGGGGATATAGGTCAGTTGGCAGAGTGCTTGCTTCACATGCACAATGCCCTGGCACCACACACACCGTGTGTATATGTGTGTATGTGTATGTGTGTGTATGTGTGTGTGTGTGTGTACACACACAAAATGACCAAATATATTAATATAGCCCACATATGAATATGGACCCAAGTACATACAGCTCCCATACAAACTAGCTGTCTTGGCAGAGAAACAAGGTAATTAATATTTTATTTACAGAAAGCCCCAAATTAAAATGAAAAGCAAAATATACTACTGGTTTCTGGGTAGAAGCACTGTTACAGATAATTTATATGACTAGTCCTGGTAGCCAGAAGCCACTGCTGTTGACATAGGGAACTCAGCTCAGAGTTGCAGAGGTGAGAGCAAGGACAGAGCTGAGATTCATCTCCGGGTTTCTGTCTCCTTTCCTTTTCAGCTCCCTAAGAACATCTATCCAAAGTTTTCTCCTAAAGAACATCAAGCAATGAAGATGTATAGAAAATAGGATAAAGCTGCATATATCGAAAATTCTGTATCTAGTAAAAGACAGTTCCCATGTTTTAACCAAGCCGTGTCATGGAGTTAGCAATGCTTCAAGCACAGGCTTTGTCTGTCCTATGGATAGGGGGTGGAGAGCGATCGTGACAACTGAGAGAATGTGTTATTGGGTGTGCATCAATATTCCTTGGAAAAAACAAAACTTAGCTTTCGTAAGACCAACCTCAGTTACCACCGCACCACGAACTGGTAGAGGGTGGGAGTAGAAAAAAAAAAACCTAGCAGGTGCTGAGGTTCAAAATACATCCATCTGCAAATATATTGAACCATATGTTCCTGTGACTCAAGAAATCCAGCTCCACACGTTCCTGGAGCTGCTGTCTCTGGGTGATGTGGGGTATATGTGGGTGCACACTGCCCAGGGGCTTCATTTTCATTGTTGCATGCACAGGAGGAAAAAGGCAGGGAAAAAAGAAGACATGCCCAGCACCTTCCTGTGGTACTTCACCACCACAAAACAAGGCCCACAATCAAATGTGTCTCCTAGGAAGTCTGTGTGTACTGCTGAGTAAGAGAAAAGGGTCATGCAAAGGAAGTTTTGCAGAAAAGTGGTGGAGGGAAAGAAAAGGAAAAAAGATTCCTTTAACAGTTTCTACCCAGCAAGCCACTCCATGAGACTTGTGTTACTGTACATTTCTCATGCAGCCAGACTGAAATCCTGGAAAAATATTGGCCATGTGTCCAAAGCCTAGGTAGTGAGGTCAGTGATCTGTGCTCCTTACCTGCAGGCTTAGGAGTGCCGGTGTGGGAGAGGCCTCCATTGGGCTGCGTGCTGTCTCCAGTTGAAAACTCCAGGCTCATTCGAGGTTTAGGCTGATATTCTCTTCTAGGCTGAGATGAAGCTTGTCTTATTCTGCACAGAAGAGAAAGAGGAGAGGAAAAAAAAAAGGTTGGGTTGATTCAGGAGCAAAAACAGAAAGCAACAAAATCAAGGAGATGTTGGGCCACTTGCCAGTCTACTATGACAGAATGTGGAAAAATCAAAGGAGCCGTAGTTTCCTTCTGTGTGTGGACCTGTGCTCTTAGTGATGTCCTCCTTCAGTGTTATCCTCACTGTCTTTATTCATCTATCAGTCCCTCACTTCCTCCCTCCTTTATTCAGTGATTTATTCCACTATGCACTGTGTGAAGTGCCAGGAACACAGAGGTGATTAGGATACAATTCTTGCCCTCAAGCAATTTATATTCTGTAGGGAACAGCACAACAGATTATCAAATTACAATAGTGCTGTCAAGGAGAAATCTGCAAAGTGCTGTGGAATTTGGGGTGGGACTGGGGGTAGGGAGCAGTCCCCCTCACCTGGGAAAGGTAGAGAAGTTTCAGGAAAGATGCAAAAGATCCCTAGGAGTTATTTCCAAAAGAACACTGTGGAAGAAAGCTACTCTAGAACAAGAGCAGGTTTAAAGGGAAGGAAGAAGGAAATACTGAGAGGAGTGAGAGGTCTAAGATAGTGGGGGAAAGGGAATGAGGGAAAGCAGGAGAAAAATGGAAAGGTATGGCTGATAACACATTCTGCATACCACTAAGTATTTTCCACAGCTTCAGATACTGGATAAGCAAAGAACACCAGAGATATGCAAGCATGGAAGGGGCTAAGGGTATGGTCACTGTAGAATGATACTGACTTTCAACATATTTCAGAGGAAAGAAAGGAAACTGGTCCCTTTATATTCAACAGATATCACAAAGGCACATACTTCTTTAGTAGTCTGATATGTATAGTTTTAACTCTTTCTAGAGGCTTCAGCGATACATACATTCCCACAAGGCACAGTGCACCAAAGGAAGCTGCATGATCAAAGCACCGAAGAAGATATTGAGGAGAGGAAGACCTAGCCAGATGCAAACAGGTGACATTTCCAACAGTGCAGCACAATACCATTTGTGTATTTACTGTGCACTAAGCCATCTATCTGTTCAGCTATGTGAGTCTAATCTGGCCATAATCTGAGAATAAAGGTTGCTGGGTGATCTTTTAAGGTAGGTGTGTGTGTGTGTGTGTGTGTGTGTGTGTGTGTGTGTATGTATATGTATGTATGTGTATATATATATTTAGCAAGATTATCCTGCTTCATCTGGCTAAGTAAAATAACACATATATATAGTTGCCAGCCTACAATGGTTTGACTCAATAATTTTTTGATTTTTGAAGGTGCCAAAGGGATGCAGATGGAACAGAATCCACACTTCAAATTTTGATCTTTTCTGGGTTAGCAACATGCCATACAATACTTTCTCACAATGCTGAGGGCAGGAGTCGGGGGAGGGGAGCCACAAATCCCAGTGAGGGATATAATCACAAATATAAACAATCCCTATTCTAAAGTGCACTGTGTGTTAAGCTATGTTGTTCCATAACTTATGTATATTAAATGCTTTTTACACTTTGGGTTTATTGACTATAATCCCAATGTAAGTTAGATAAGCAGCATCTGTAAGATAATGTAGAGTCACTGCATGTAGCTCTGCAGGCTGTGTCCCCAAATTCAGACAGCCCATTTGCACAGAGAACTACTATAGGTCTCTTTGAAGTGCATCTATGGAAGTAGAACAGGTATATGAAAATGGCTCTCTCTGTTAGTGAGAGAGTTAGGACTTTATTATTCTGTTAGGACTTTATTATCATTCAAAGAAACCTGATATGAAAAGATGCAGGCATTCAAATAGGTTGTGCTTGCCAGTGAGCCCCAGATCCACACACTGAGTGCGGCTATGGGCTCCCTAAGCCTCAGTTTGATCAACTGTTACTTAGACAACAAGGATGTTTTAAGAATAATTATATGCATTAAGTCTCTTGCTGAACATCTGCTCACAAACTGCATCCATCATCATCAACAGTATCCAGGTGTCCATCTGTGACAGTCAGTATAGAATCCAACCTATCATAAACCCAAGCCTAGATCCAAAAGAACAAAGTAAAATGAAGCACAGACAACTAATCCACAAGATGTCTATGTAGGATCAACAAAAATTTTGGCAAAAGTTTTGTCTCCAAATGTATTCTATTACTCGGTTTCTTTACATCATTTTATATCAAGGAAATGTGAATGAGAAATGCAAGGAAGTGTTACCCACCTTTCCTCCAGTCTGACTGTGACCTGCTGCAGGATCTGCACTGCCTGCTTGTGGTACTCCAGCTGGGCTTGCACAAGCGCAGAGAGCTGGCTCACCTGTTCAATCTGCAGATAGAGGGCAAATCATGCCTCAGTTACCAGGTTACTGTCCTGAAGCTCCTACTACTTACTGTCCCACACATATGACTGTGCCTGGCAATGCTGATGACTGTGTGGCAGTCCAGGCTAAGACAGATGTTCTGCAGGCTCCAAATTCCTTACAGATAAGAAAGCATCCTTGTTCTTAGAACCACATATATCAGTACCAGGAAGAGCAGCATAAGTAAGAAACCCCGTGAAGATGACATCACTCTATTAAACAGTCTGATGTCTAGTTACCACCTTCTAATGATGATGTGGCTTCCTTTATTGATTTCTTAAAGGAAAAAGATCCACTGACTAAAGGACTCTTTGTTCCCTATACTTTTTATCCTAAGTTAATATCAGTGTTGTAATAAAAATGTGAATATTGATTGCTCACATAGGTACCATGGAGGTAATATAGTCTGATGGAAAACCTTTGGTCCTCTCAGAGCTTCATTTGTAGTGCAAAGGGGTTTGATTATGTGACATCTTGAGTTCTTTCTAGCTCTAATATTCTTAGTATCCTTAGTTATTCTTCATCTTGAATCTCCCGCTGTGTTGTGACCTGAGCAGTAGCCTCCTAGTGAACAGAGGTGATGTTACCCTGAATTTGAGGTATAGGGAAGGATCCCTGAGATTCAGGTTTCCTATGTTATTCCTCCTGAGTATTTAGGTGGACAAAAGTTATTTCACATGAACACAAACCTATACCACCTCCTGATGGTGAAAAAGACCAGATTTGTTCAATATGCCTTCCCTGCCACAGGAGGAAGACAGCTAAGTGATGTAATGGTTAATTTTAGGTGTCAACTGGATTAAAGGAGACCCAGATAGCAAGCAAAGCACTATTTCTGGGTATATTTGTCAAGGTATTTCCAGAAGAGATTAGCATTTGAATCAGCAGAATGTGTAAGGAAGATGTGTCCTTATCCAATGTGGACAGGCACCATCAACTTGGCTAAGGGTCCAAACAGAGTAACACTGCGAAAGAAAGGAAAATATTTACTAGCTCCTGAAACTAGGCATCTGCTCCTGCCCTTGGACATCAGAGCTCCCAGTTCTTCAGCCTTCAGACTTGGTTTCCAAGACTTGCACCACTAGCTCTCCACCTCTGCCTGGTTCTGGGCCTCTACCCTCAGACTGAGAATTGCACATTAACTCCACTGGTTCTCAGAACTTCAGTCTTGACTGAGCCATGTTACTGGCCTCCCTGGTTCTCCAGCTTTTGGATGGCATATTGTGGGACTTCTGAGACTATAATTTCATGGGCCAATTTCCCTGATAAATTCCCTCTTCTGTATCTTTATCTATATCCTATTGGTTTTATTTCTCTGGAGACCCTAACCTAAGTAATAAATACATAATATCTATGAACATTTTGGCAAAAGTTGCTGAGCAGCTGATAGGGTAGGAGGTAGAGATGAACAAGGACAGGAAAGCTGGTATAACAGGTCTTATTGCATAAGTGAAATGAGGAAGGAGGATCTTTCATTGTAATTTCAAAGCTAAAAGAATTTAACAGAATGTAATGTCTATAGCAATAAGCAATAATTTAGCACCCTGGGTATGCTTTTAAACCATCTCATCTATATCCCAAGTGTAATACCTATACTACAATCATCATTCTCAATAAAAATTACCTTTTCAAAGACAATGTCAACTTTACTTCAAAATGCAGAACGTCTTAATCTATGTTGGATGCTCAATTCTGAATGTATTTCATAATCTCAAATCAATATACTTTGTATCAACAAAGTATTTTTTCAAATATTGGACTTACTCATGAATCATTACCAACATTCTTTTTCTCTTTGCACTAATAGTAATGTTTTAAGATTCCTCATCAGGAAAAAAAAATCTAGGTAAATCAAACTATAACAGTGCAGGAAAATACTACTTCTCTGTATACTTTATCACTTAAAATTATTTAAAAGAAATAAGCATCTATGTGTTCTTACCACATAGTATAATCCAATCTTAACATTTTTAATATCAGACTCTTTAACACATTAATCTACAGCCTCAATGATAAGATTAAATTAAAAACCACAGAAGAGTCACTTACATCCATCTCCAAAAGATTGAACATGCTTGACTCAGCAATTTCTTTAGACTCATCAAATTTCTCCAGAGCTTGACGGAGCTCTTCATCTGGAATCTTGCCTTGTCGTTTCTTCTTATAATCAAAGTCCAGGCGTCGACCTTCCAACTTCTTTAGATGATGCTGAAAAAGTCAAGGGCATGAATATGCTATGAAAGGACTTACAGAAAAGGTCCACTTGCAGCTCACTTATACGTCATGCCTATCAGCCTCCAAAATAAGACAGGCTACATTTCAAAATGGCACACTGCCAGAGAAACAAAAAAATACACATTAAGGAGGCAAATATTTCCAAATGTGGAGAAATATCTTCAAAACTAATTAAGAATGAGAAAGACATTGTGGGAAATTACATTGTCCTTTATTTTCTGCCTTTGCCAGCCAAAGTCAAGCTGGACTTTGCCTTTCCCTCCCAATGATAAGGGAATATGTGTGCATATCCTAAACATACTAAAAAGGATATACTCAGCCCACAAGTCTCCATCTTTAATAGAAACTGTATCTCAGGAAAAGGCAGGGCAAAAACATTTTCCCTGAAATAATGTGCAAAGGAATGGAATTCTTGATTTTGTAATCATTCAGTCTATTAGAATCACCTAAATTGTTCATCAATAAAATAAATAATTCCTAATTACCTAAATCAAAACATCCAGGGCTGGGCCTGGGAATCTCTATCTTAACCTTGTTCCAGTTGATTGTGGCAGCTTTTGGGAATGTCCTGATTTAGCCTAAGCCTCCTCCTGACAGGTGATACAACTCAATCACAAAGCCTCACTCAGAAGGATTTCATCTAATGCTCCACAATGAGCTTCAATTCTTCCTTGCACTATCCCCAGTCAGGCTGCCCAGACTCTGCCCAGCACTGTTAGTGGCCAGGTGGGAAAGTTGCTTTCCAAAGTCAAAAGGTACTTTCCCCACCCTGAGAGCTGCAGCCTTCTACTACTAATGACTGGAAGAAAATGCTGGACTTTCCCTTTTTCCTGGATATGTCTGGAGTGGAAGGAAAAGAAAACAGAGCTTGGAATGACAAAGAACTGAGAAAAAAGAAGGATGAAAAATATCCTTCCCTCCCACTTCATATCCTGCCCCCAGTCCATGGCTGATCCAAACTAAATGATATCTGTTCCTCTGGAACAGACATTATTTTAAAACATCTGAACTTTCAGCCAGCTGTGGGGTAGAGCATGGGATCAGTTACAGTTTGGATGCAGAGTGCCAGTCTGCCATTTACTGGGTGACCCTGAGTGAGTGGTAGAGTTGAAGGAGACTTACGCTAGAACAGGGAGAACCAGAGAACCGGAGTTCAAGCTACTGAAGTCCACTTGACAGAATTTAAGCTACATCAGGTTCAGCAAATATTAATTGTTCAGTTTTAGGTTCAGTGATTGAATGAGCAAACATCATATATCCAGTCAGAGACAAAGCCCATTGAATTTATTAGAAATAGCTCAATGGTTCTATAAGTTTCAGAAAGAGGATTATTGGCTACTCCTGATCAATCCCAATCATATTTTTTATAAAAATTAAAAAAAATACATTTAAAAGTGAAAGAATATTTACTTAAACTAACATACAGTCCAACTACATTTGGGAGGTGACACAGGTCTGGCAAATCATTCCAACTGATAAAATTATGTCTTCTCAGGTTGAGTCCATTATGCTTCCAGAGGGAAAAAATATTTGAAAAAACTAATGTGGAAATTGGACATAAAGAAGTCACATGTAATACACAAGAGTGGCACGTCACAACAGTAGGCAGAAAGGTATTATACTTCTAATTTCTCTTAACTTGTCTTGCCCTGTTGTTTTGAATTTCATGTGCCCAGTTCTGTCAACATAAACATTAACTTCAAAAATGTTTTCTAAAGGAAATGAGCATCTGGACAACTCCTACAGGACTAGTTGCACATACCTGAATTTCCCTCAAATCTTTGTCATGAAGATTCTGAAGAGGGTCAATGAAGTTCTGCTTCACTTCCATGTCCAAAGAGTCTTTCACTTCTGAAAGTTCCCGCATGGCCTCCCCTACCTCACCAAGTGCTGGACCTGGAAGGAGAGAAGGAAGTTCTTCTAACTCAAAGAACAAAGATGAGCTACACTTGCAAAAATAGGGCATTCACAGATGAAAATTCAGGATTACACATCCTAAAGATGACAAAGACCAGAGGGAAAGTGTAATGTCTTTTCCACTTAGGATGTTCATTTTGAGAACCAGACTCAAAGCCTCATGCTAAGGGGGAATAACCCTTATCATCAAGAATGTAACATTTTACTTTACTTTAAAAAAGTAATTTGAGAGGCTCTCTGCCCTCTGCTGGAAGTACCAGCTCTTGTTGATAGAGGACCAGTTTCAGACCAATGTATTTAGAAGAAGCAAATACTAGGAATGAAAAGCAGGTTCAACCAGGAAGAACAATCATCATGTCAAGAAGGACATGTCCCACATCACAAGGGGGTTAAGACAAGAGGTGTTTAGTGTCATCATTGAGTATTGGAAAATGTCGGTAGTGAAGGAATAAACCCTGTCTCACTTAGGGCAGTGGGATTAGGTACATATACAAAGGAGCTGAGATCTAAGAGAAAGCCCAAATGGCAGGATGTTGCTTTGTGCTGTGACTGTTTCCTCTGTCTCAATTCTCAGTTCCTCCCAAACACACCCAATAGAAAGTGCAGAGGCACCTGGGTATGTCAACCAAAGGAAAAGATTCAATTCTAGAAGTCTGTTGTAAGGACTGGATCCAATCATAGAAAAGAAAAACAAACTAACCAAAACAAGACAAATCATCTTAAAAAAAGGTGAAAATTAAAAAAAAAAATTTGTTTCATGTATGTAAGATCTAAAACAAAAAATAGCTTGACAAACTGCCTACAGAGTTTCTTACCAGCAATACAGCCCCCAGGGCTAACCAGCGTAACTACACTGTGAAAAAGCATGGCACTCCTTACCAAAGTTGCAATCATCTCCAAGCTCCCTTCCAAACTTGAGCATGGCCTCTGCAAGTAGTGCCTCTGCCTGAGGATAGCCTGGCCCCTTCTCCTGGCCACGGATTTTTGACATGGTGTTGATCATGCTGAGCTTAGCTCTGGAAGCTGAAGGCAAAGAGAGAATAGGCTTTTGAAGTCAGCAATGTGGCACAGTGGAAACAGGGACAGATGAGGAAGCAGACCTCAGACTGGCCTATAATCGGCTCAACGATCAAAAACCGTACCTTTATCCTTCATGGTTTGGGCTTTACTTGAAATATGTGGGTGTTGATGTATAGATAGACATAGATATACATATGGATATAGACATAGATAAATAGAGATAGAAAGATATCAATATAACATATATATGTAAATAAATATAGACGTGTTGATATATAATCACTAAGCTCTCTCTTTTCCCTTAAAATCCTATGAGGAATTATAAAGAAAAGGCAAAGCTATTCTCAGAGAAGCAATAGTAGAGGCTCAGATCCTATTCTCATCTGTCCCTCCCTGTCCTCTCTTCATTCTGGTGGCTCCAGCTGAGAGTCTGTGGCACTTGGTGGCTCCATAGAGACCATTTTGGAAAATCCTGAATTATGTGATTATCTCTAACTTTATTCCAGTTTTATATATCAATTCTAGAAGTCTATGGAATAAAGTCCAAAATCAATGGTAAATTACTGAAGAAAATAAGGAAAATTATACTAGTCTATATTGGAATTATCAATGACAAATAAAGGTCAAACAGTGACATTTTCAAACACACAAAAGAAAGGTCACAAATTTTTCCCCTTCCCAGACTAATGGAAGGGTGAGCCTTTATGCCATGTTTCAATGACATCATCTATAAAATAGAAGTATGTTCAAAATAGTCTCTTAACTAAGATTATGACACAGATTCATGAAGAAGAAACATAGTGTGCTCATTAAGAATTAATTACTTCTTTTGCACATAGTTACATCTGAAAATTAGTTTAATGCCTCAAAGATAGCATTTCAATTATTTATTTGGCTTTTATTTTTATAAAAGAAGATGCCTGGAAATCAGTTTCAATCTTAGTAGAAGAAATGGCTTTATTAACAAGATATTAAAGCTATGGTTTAATTTATTCTAGAATGCCTGGGTTCCTTAGGCTCACTGTTAGAACGTGGTTTGCACATTAACCCAGGACTGTGCCCAAGATCCCAGCTGCAGGGAAACCCCTGTCAGAACCACATCTAAAGGTACTTCTGGCATTCAGTGGCTGATCTAGTTCAAATAGACTCTTATTTAAACTCTGGGCCTCAATGATACAAACTGGAGATAAGAGAGTTATCAGGGGAGGATTCCCCAACCCTGCCCAGGGACGTTATAATGAGTGAGACAATTAAGGCCACGGCTGTCACAGTTTATAAGGACCTGAGGGTAAAGTCTATTTTAAAAGTAATTAGTGTGACATGTACATACTAAGTGCCATGATGGGGGACTGCTACGAGTTATAGGAACACGGCACTGTCCAACTTGTGGGGTGGGACACTGCAAAGGATTCTGAGAAGAACAACTCACTGAGTGTAGAACCACAGAGAGTACAGGCTGGCCAATGACACACGCAAAGCTGGAGGTGACTGTAAAAATGTAAAACTCACCTTTTATTTACCTCCACTTTCCAAAGAAAAGTGTATCAGATATGTTAAATTTTTAAAAATAAAATTGTCTCATAATCACCCGTTTTCTAGAGGAAACTGTCATTAAAGTGGAATTGCAGAGCTGTTTCTGCAATCAGCCACCACTGAGACCCAGGAAAATCACAATCCCTGCCCTCACGGTGTTCACCGCACCGCACACTGAGGAGTTGGGCAGACAGGCAGTAGTCTGATAGGATAAATATTATACTGGCTGATACACACAAGGGGATGGGGAAAATGAAGAAGTAGTAACATCCGTACAAATAAAAGAAAGAAGCCAACACCTGATAATGAGGCACACAGAATGAACACATGGAACAGAGACCAAAGACAGAGAGTAGTGAAACCACCCCTGGTGGGTAAGCCTTCAAATCCTGTTTCGAACATTTTACATTCCACAGATATATTCTGTTTATGAAAGCTGGGTATTGATTAGTGCTTATACCTTCTTCTGTTAAAAACTGTCTTTGGAAAGCAATTTTAAACAGTTTAATATATTGTAGCTGATTTTAATATTCCTCATTTTGACTGTTGCTGAATTATGAATAGCCCTGTTCTCTTACTAATTACTTAAAAACATCTTTGATATATTCCACATTTTTACAACAAGGAAGAATAAAGCCATATTTTATTATTTTATCTATTTATTCAAATGATCTAAAAAAAACTATTAGCCCACATTTGAAGAGGTTGGCTTTTAAGTTTATTCACAAACTCATTAAATTTTTATTAAGAACCTTGGTTTGGTAAAAATTCTCTGTTCTTGAAAAATAACATCAGATCTTGGAATTACCGTATATAAATGTTAACAATCATTTCAAATGATTTTCTAAAGAAAGCTGAGTATGAGCCTGGAAAATACAAATATAAAACATTAAAATTCCTGTAATGGGACCTCAGCCTGGATTGTTTGTCCAAGTTGTATTGTGATCCTGGAGACCTAAATCCCTTTTCTCCTTAAAGGGGCCTGACTATTCTCCAAAATATCTTCCCCTGCTTCATCACTTGGTTTTCTTACAAATGGTTATATTCTCTCTGAATATGCCAAACCTTTACTTTCCCACCATCACTATTTTAGTTCATTTGGGTTTACTGAAAAAGTGGTTTCCTATCCTAATAGCAATCTCTCCCCTGGGCCATGAGAGTAGGACCCTGGCATATTGGTCTGCGTATCTCCCAGTTAGGGTCAACACAAAGCTGTGCACACTGGAGATGTTCAACACATCTGCTGAAGGCATGAAGAAATGAATGAGAAGACCATCCTAGAAAAGACAGAGCAGAGTAGTAGTTTGCATAAATGGACTGCTCACATGCTGACCGCCCCCTGAAGCACAACAATGGAAACTAGAAACCTTGTTTCTTTGGTTGAGAAATAAAAGGTATGGCAATTCAACGGATTTTTTTTTTTTTTTTAAAGAAAGAAAACCCCTGACCCTGTGAGCTAGGATTCTGTGGCAGTTACTATGTGCACTGTAGGACTCACCAACTGGTGTGTTCAGAGTGTGGGTAGTATTCCGGAATATATTAAGGGCTTGGTCCCCAGGCTGGCATTATGTGGAGGTGTTGGAACCTTTGGAAGGGGGGTCTAGTGGAAGATTCTTGGTCACTGGTGGGGTATATGTGTACATGTCTCTTCCTGTTCTGACTTGAGAGGTAACCATTTCTTTCTACACATGCTCCTAAGATGATGTGCTCTAATCTACTGCCCCCACCAGAGACCACACCAGCATGAGCAACAGAAGTTTTCTTAGAAAACAATGAAACAATACCTCCAAATATCTTAGAGAAAATAAGGAAAATTATACTAGTCTACATTGGAATTATCAATGACAAATAAAGGTCAAACAGTGACATTTTCAAACACACAAAAGGAAGGTCACAAATTTTTCCCTTTCCCAGACTAATGGAAGAGTTCCACTAAAATGAAATCATAAATCTTGAAAAGGGATAGGTATGAGATCTAGGAAATAAACAGGAACCCAATGTAAAGAAGCAGGCAGAGGGAATCCCAACATGACTGTAAAGGGAGCTAACAAGACAGTCCTAGAGCCAGGTGCGGTGGCACATGGCTGTAATCCCAGCCATTCAGGAGTCTGAGGCAGGAGGATCACAAGTTCAAAGCCAGCCTCAGCAATGGTGAGGCACTAAGCAACTCACTGAGACTGTGTTTCTAAATAAAATATAAAATGGGGCTGGGGATGTGGCTGAGTGATTGAGTTCAATCCCCAGTACACCCTCCCCCACGGGAAAAAAAAAAAAAAGATTAAGAAAAAGACAGTCCCAATATTTCAGGCACCACAGGCAACTAGACCAACATAACCAAATGTGTTCAGCTCTGAGAGCCATGAGCTGCGAAGGCGCAACAATCTCTGTGGATCCACAGGACTAATTCTGAAGTTTTCTTTGCTCCTATGCTCCCACTGGGATCATGCTGCAGTTGCCTGCCGTCATACCATAATTTATAATGTACCCTTTACTGGGTTCCTCTTCTTCCCTGCTCCCCTCACAGGGTTTGCTGAAATCACCTTGAAAACCAGTACTTGTGCTAAATCCTTGTCTTGTGGCTTGCTTCTGAGGAACTCAAACTAAGGGAGTAGTCAATCCAGAGTACAGCATCAGATGTTTCAAAGATGATGAACACCTGATGAGTTTCACCATATTTTGTAAGGAAATTCATATGTGAGGCACAGCTTGGGAAAGAATCAGTGAAAGGTACACAAAATGTTCTGAAATTTTAAAAATAAGACAAAGATTAACTCCATGAAAATCAAAAAGATACACGAGAAAGAAAATACTATTATATTATTCTACATGCCTCAGCTTTGTATAAAGTTTATAAGGACATAAAAATTAAATACTGATGTAACAAGAATTATGCTACAAACATACCAGAAAATTGAGAGAACAGAGGTATGTGAAAAATAGGGAGGTAGAAAAAAAAACAAGTGATTCCAATCTTCCAAATTGGGAATCAAATGGAAAACATCTAAAACTGAAAAACTAAGCAGGATCAACATAAATATATTGTTTTAGGATTGGAAACAAACAAACAAGAAAAAAAAAACCCAAACAAACAAAGAAATGGCCAAAAGAGCCTTCAAACTGTTGCTTTATGAAGCAGAAATGGAGAAGGGCTGCAATCCTGGGGGGACTACTATGTTTTATAAAATGTTTGTAAACTACTCCCTTTTTAATGTTTGTGTATTACTTCTATTCTAAAGAACTAAATTTAAAATATTTCCATATATTTTTCCCATAGGGAAAAAGGATGTTTAAAACAAGTCCTCAGTTAAAGAGGGTTGGGGGGATAGTTGTCAGAACTAAGCTAAAAAAAAGAAAAAAAGAAAGAAAAGTCAAGTCCTCAGCTGGCCGTGATAGCACACACCTGTAATCCCAGCCAACTGGGAGGCTGAGGCAGGAAGATTCCAACTTTGAGGCCAGCCTTGCAACTCAGT